AGAGAGAGAGAATCCAATAACATCACATTGAGTGAAAAACCGCAGTATAAATACGGTAAGAAGTAAACGCACTCGGTTGCCACTTAGTAGCTCCGACACTTAAGACAGGCCGTATCTATTCTATCATATATTATTATTATTATTTCTATATTGTTGTTGTTATCGACCGGATACACTCGGCTCTTCACAAGTGCTGTACTTCCGCGTCCATTTGTCGCTGGTCTTGATTTTGTCCAGTTTTTCTTGGCTCGCAGGAGGATCAGGCTTGTCAGTTGGTTGGGCTAAATAACTTGCAAACTTAACATTTTCTGGTTTAAAATATTTCAAAACATTAAGTTCCCTGGTAATGGTGGCAAAGATGCGTCAAGGTAAATGTCAGATTCAAACCTTTGATTTTAAAGCACACGTACGATTTGCCCTTATGGGAAACATTGCACGTCCTAGTTGATCACCACCTTACAATTACAAAGTTCTATCTGCTGATATTTTTGGCCGTTTTGAGTTACTGTGACCGTGAGGTCAGAAACCAAAATGTTCTACCGGCTCTATCAAAATCGTTAGATAATTCGGAGTCGCTATCAAGATAATGATATTCAAAGACTTGCCTCCGAAAACCTTAACCATGAAACTCAACATTTTAAACTTCAAAAATTTATCAAAAACCAGGTACTCAGCAGATCAAACTTTGTAGTTCTGGGTAGCGATCTGTACATGTCACCCACTGGGAGGTAACGCGATATATATTATTTCATTCTATAGACTTGTGATTTAATCATCTTAGATCGTGCGTGCACTTTGGTGTTATTCCAGTTCACAATGTGGCTCATCTTCTGGCTTAATTGTTTAGCCTAATGAAAAGCACACGAAAGGGGGTGGGGGGTACTTTATGCGCTTGATAATAGCACGACTGATGTTTTGCCATTCACTTTTACACCCGTGGAAAGTACGCACCGCAAAGAGCGGCAGCCATGACAGTGCGTGGTCTAAGATATTATAATTCAAGTCTATACCTCATACAGCAGAACGTCGCTTTTATTGAGAACAGTTCTGTCAGGAATGACCCGTTTGAAAAGATCACGAGAACATTTATTTGTGTGCACAATGTCATGTGATATCTGTGTTCAAATGCAAACGCATTGTTTATTACAGCACTTATATGACTTTATTGTGTTGCATGTGCTGTAAAACACTTATTAAAACTAAAAATTGTTTATTAAGATCACATTTATATAATATGATGCAACATGAGAATCATTGTGTGCAATAATTGCTTTAACACAAGGGCCATGAATTTCGACAATCCCAACACGGATGAGCAGGATGGTACTCATATTATCTATGCTTTGATCTCTTTGTATACATGTTAAGTCGTGAGGCTACAGTCTTGTACTTCATTTTGGCAGACTTGTCAAAGCCAATTGATCTTCTCCGTCTATGGAGCCGAGGGAGGGAGCATACCGCGAGGAAGTCTGTATGGCACTCTAATGCAATCATTTCTATACTAGTATTTCTGTCGGGGCATGCTGCACAGCGTTTAGTGCTGCGAATTGAGAAAACTAACGAAACACACTCTTTCCAAAGGATACACTGTACTAAGCTATTGCTCCGATCGAGGATCAAACCCAAGATATTCTGCCTTCGAGTTCGACATCTTCTGATTGTTAGGTGAGAACAATCGCTACTCAAGTGTGTTACTAATATTTTTAGATAAAGCACATTCAATTCAGGGAAATTAGAAGAAAACGCTGACGATATCGTGAGTCTGAATTCAGCTCGAGTGTCTGCAAAACACTGGTATACTCACAAGGGTGCGGTATTCTTGTGTGGGTCTCCTCGGTTCAGTCGCCTCCCCTCGTCAAGTCCCGGCACCACCAGGGTCTCAGTGTCCGTCTGGTAACCGACACGTTCATATGTCGTAGTGGGAGAGGGCGGCATTGTGGTCAGATGGACAATAAGTAACAGCACTCACTCAAACACAACGTATACACTTTGGCCTAACTGTTACTCCGCACTGCACCAAAAAAATCTATCCGCAAAATGCTGAGCACCACCAGTCAGGCTGGTGAATCAGTTATGTTTTCTTGTTTTCCGAAGTGAACGTTCATTTCCATACTTTAAGTAATATGTATATTCTGTAAACCTAAACGTTTTCCCAGAAAGAAGCGTTACATTTTCAAAAAGGCCGCATGCTCAATGAAAATGTCTCAGCACAAACTGTATGGTGGGCAATCCATGCTTTTTGATACAATGCTTGCTGCCAAACTTAATATGCTGTTGGCTACAGCCGGAACTATCAATATCTTTTTGCCATCTCCCCTTTTTTCTCACCCGACCC